TTACAAACTTAAATGAATATATCAATAAAATTTGTCTAAAATAAACATGAATACCAGTCATATAATAGCTCTCTCTGTGTCAAAATCAAGAAAATTATACTCATATAATTGGAATTCTCAAAAAAGAAGGGGATAGGAAATAAATATTTAAAGATTTAAAATTTCTAAATTTAGTTAAAATTACAGCACCACATTTCCAAGAAAAACGAACCTTTTACACAAGAAATATGAATAAAATCATACCAAGATACACAAAACTGAAATTTTCCAGGACTAATTATAAAGAAAAAATCATTAAAGCATATACATAGAAAAAATACTAACTATAGAAGAACAAAATTAAATAGCATCTTATTCCACATTAGAAAAGAAAAAAGAGCAAGTGGGCAAGAAACTACTTATTTGTTCACAGGACTGAAAGAAAAAAAAAGAAGATTGCCTTCATTAAGTGTTATACATAGCAAACATACATTTGAAAATTAAAAGTAAAATAATTCAGTCATACAAACTAGAAATATTCTAACACCTCTAGTTGTATCATATAGAAAATAACAAATACCAAAATCCGGAAGGCAAAAGAAGTTCTGGATAAAGAATAAGGACCTCTCAAAATGGTAGCTATGGGGGCTGGGGAGATGGCTCAGTGGAACAAGCGCTTCCCTGGCAAGTGCAAGGGCCTGAGTTCAATCCCTGGTTCTGCAAAAAAAAAAAAAAAAAAAAAAAGGTAGCTATGCAGAACTATGTAAGATATATTTAATTAGATGAACACATTTAACATGTCATTGAAGATTTACACAAAACAATATCAATCTTAGGTCAGGTCATATAAATCTATCTATCTATCTATCTATCTATCTATCTATCTATCTATCTATCTATCTATCTATCTATATGCGTGTGTGTGTGGTTATGTGTGTAAAAGACAAGGAAGAAGCAATATAATGGAAAATGGAAATAGACTTTTTAAAGTTTCTAATACTAGGAGAAAATATCATACCATATCTCATAAGTAGATTTTAAGCTAAATTAAAAATATAAATCATAAAACAAAAATCAGGAAACAATCAAAATTAAACAATACTCAGAAAATTAGTTAAATATTAATTAATTCAAAATTAATTAAATATTTCAAAATAATATTCAGAAATTTAAATTAAATTGTGACTCCAACTAAGAGACCAGAATGTAGTATATCATATGTATGAATCTGTGATCAATTCAGAGTATTTATACAGTATTTGATTAGGTTAATATATAAAAATATCAAATAAAAGAAAGTTCTCATGATTGTAAAGAATTACTAAGAATAAAACATAACAAAAATAGTGGAATGGAAAACATATGACCAGCACTTCTAACAGTTTGGGGTAGGATATCACACAAAGGTCTAGTATGTGGTAAACGTGGACAATGTCAATCATGCTTAATGGTGGCCAGGTGTCACTTGTGCATCTGAGCTAGTGCTATTTCCTTAATATCCTCCCTGTAGACCCAGACAGAATCATGACCTATAGGGCACAGGAGAAGTCCATTTGTAGAGTATCTTGATGGAAAAAATTTGCTTCTGTATACAAGAATAATTGAAAGACTGCTGTTTTATACCTCTTTTTCTCCTGTGTTTAATTGTTTGCCCTAGTTGGTGTGCTCTTTCCACTCTCATTCATGGAGTTGTGGTCATTTTGATCTGTCTTTAGAATATTTCTTAGTCTGTGTAAGGTTGACTTTATTGTCATGAAATTCTTTAGCTGTTCTTGGCCTTGGAAGTGTTTCACTTCTCCATTAAACTTGAAAAAGAGTTTTTCAAGGTACATTTTTCTGGGTTGGAATTTGTTTGCTTGCAAGAGTTGTAGCACTTTTCTCCATGCTGTTCTTGACTCAATGGTTTGTGAAGAGAAGTCTGTCATTATTCTGATGGGGTTTCCTTTAAATATGATCTGTTTCTTTGCTCTAACACCTTTATTACACTGTTTCTGTGCTGAATTTCTGAGATCTTGATTCTTATATAACTGAGTGAGGTTTTAATTGGGTTGATGCTATTTGGAATTCTATATGCTTCAGTTACTGAATGGCAGATTGTTTCCCCATTTGGGAAGTTTTCCGTTATTACTTCTACCATATTTTTATATCATTTGTATTGACTCTTTTCTTATTGATACCTATTAGTCTTACATTGTTCACGTTTGCATCAGCTTGCAGATGTTGAATTATTTTTTCCTGCAGTCTAGTTGTTTTTAAGAGATCTTTTCATACCTTTTCACTAGCTGCAATAGTATCTTCAAGGTCTGAAAGTTTATTTTCATTTTCATTCAAATGGTTTTGCCAGCTTGTGACTGAGATTTTAATTTCCTGTATATCACTTTAAATCTGCTTCATCATTCTATTTCTTCCTATATTGCTCATTCAAGGATTCTATCAATTTTCTATTCTTCTCTATTTTTATCAGTGTCTTCTTTAGAATCACTTAGTGATTCTTTTATTATAGTTATCTTTTTTTACTCCAGAAATTATTTCTGATCTGATTTCCTACATATCTTTGTGCAGTTGTTTCTTTACTTCAGACCCTGTTATTGCAGAGATTTCAGGTGTGTGATTTCCAATTTCTGCAATGCCATTGTCTCTTGCATTTGTTCTGGGTGGGCTCAGGGCCTGAGACTGCATTTTTCTCCTTCTCTTTGTCATTTTGTTTAACACTGTCTCTTGACCTCTGGTTTTGAGCTTGGATACAGTTATTACCTTAGCACCAGTTCTGGATCTACCAAATTTAAACTGGGCAGATGGATGTGGCTTGGGTCTGGCTGTTTTGCTCTACTTTTACCTACTGTAGGCCTTGGAAGTGAACACCCTGTGTCACTCTGGCAAGATGTTCTTCTCTTGGATCAGCTGGATGGGTCTTGTCCCTAGCCTATCTGCCAGGAGTTCTGCCACAAGGTCCCACACCAGGCCTATCTGATGGAGGAAGTTCCACATACATGCTGAGCATGTGTACTGGCTAGAGTGAGGATCTGGAGGGCCCTGGGCAGTCCCACTCCAAATATTTTTAACAGGAAATAAAAGAATGTTAATTTTTTACATAAAACTATGCAACAAGTACTAGGTTGATACTTACTAGTTTTTTAATGTGGAAAAAATAATACAATTATACTGTGAAGTAAGAAAGATTAAATACAGAGTAAATTGCATGCACTGTCATAAGTGTTTATTATGTTCACTACAAGTGATTCCTCAGAAACCTAAAATTGACATTCCATTCAACCCAGCATTTTTCCTTGGTCTCTTTCTGAAAATGTTAATGACATGTGACAGTGATACACACATATCCATGTTTATAGCAATATAATTCATAACAGCTACATCTTGAATATGACCCAGATGTCCATCAAGGAATGGAAAAAGGAAATGTGATATTTGGTCACAACGTAGTACTACTCTTTGATAAAAATGGATAAAGATGAGTCCTTTGTAGAAAAAAATGCAATTTTATCACAATGTTATGTAAACTTTTCACATGAACATAAATATCACATTGTTTCTCTTATATAAGAATGCTAAAGTATAAATAAATTAAAAAAGGTAAATCAAGGAAATAGATTTTCTCATTTAGGAAGATAACTAAGATGTAGAGGTAGGGAAAAGAAGGGATGAGAAGAGGATTTATAGGAAATAATGTGTGTCATGTACCAACTTCTAATGATAAGTGTAATTATTATATAAAGCACACATGTATTAATAACTTTCATATTTTCTGGGGGAAAGAGACAAAAATTGCTGTTTTCTGAATTTTCTTACATATAATGTCTACAATTAAAAAGATAATAATACTTTTTAATTCTTTAGTATTGAGAAATTTGAAGAAAAACACACAGTTCTGATAAATATTAACTGTTCTCCATTGAGAAAGAAAATACTTACAATGGAACTTTATGTTCTTGAGCAACACACCCCTTATAGAAAACAATGTAAGTGTAGACAGAAAGCAGAGTGTAAATCACCAGAATCCAGATATTGAGAGACACAGCTGTCCGTCAAGCAACATGGTTTCTGAAGATTTAATCATGTGCTCCAAGGCAGGAATACCATGACAGAAGGTACTGGCTGAACAAGGAACATAATTCCTCTGGGCCAGGAGAATAGCACAGATCAAGAGTCTAAAGACAAGGCATTAGTACCCAGATATATTCTCCACAAGTTTCCATCCCTAGTTCAGGTGGTTCTAGTGGGATCCACACTGCCTACTCAAAGTAGTTGTAGTAACCTGTGCCAATTTATAGATTGAACTCTTAGGGCCCTCAGAAATTTGCTAAATTAGAGCAATAAATGTCACATGCAGAAACTTTGTTTAAAAATATTGAGAAGAGATGTGGATTCCATCACACTTACTATTCATAATAAAATAGAAGGTGCTTAAGACACCCTGGAAAGGACCTTAGGATAGTGAAAAAGTCATCAGGTAGGATTGGTACAAGGTGGACATACTTTGTTAGTGCTCAGTACATTGCCGCTTGATTGTTTTGGTGAAATTGAGTTGCAGGAATTTTGTCTCCATCACCAGATGGTCGGCACTGTCTCCAAAAAGCTTGCTCCTACCACAAGAGAATGGCCTAATGTGCATCTGCTTCAGAATCTATTCTGATGAACTTAGATCCCTGGCATTGTAATTTCTGTCACTTTGAACCCAGGTTTCTGATATTGTATTGGCCACTACCGCATCCTGCAGTCCCCACCTTACACTCTTGGGTTAGCCTTGTGAGCTGGAACAGGTGACCAGCTCTGAATCATCAGCTGAGGTCACTGTGTGACTCTCACACAACCATGTAGAAGATGTCATGTGGGAAGGCATTGGGCATAGCACACTTTCTTTGAAAACTTCCTATAATGAAGCAACTTAAACTACTGGGAAACATAAGTCACTGTGCTGAATTTCCCCACTCCCTCTGCTGGGAGATAAAAGACAGAAAGGAGAAAGCTTCAGAAGCTCTCACCTGGGAAGCCTTCTTGGGAAGATGCAGCTGCTCCTGTTCCTATTGGCCTTCTTTCTGACCCCCAGGATAAGAGCAGGTAAGTTATCATTGAACAACCCAGAGCTCCTACCCCATCCTACAGTGGACATGGTGCCCGGTCCCTTTCTGAACCCCTCACCCTTTTTTCTATCAGGATTGCTCTGAACTTGACTTCAAATCTCACCACAGAACCCTAAGAATTACTCTGGATAGGTTACCACAAATTGTTCTCAACAAGAGCCAAGCGACACTACCTCTTCATAAGGCCCTGTCTTTTTCGTCTGGAAAGTGAGTCTTTCCTCAAAGTGCATACAAATGATGAGAAGTTGCAGGAGAAAATATGGAATTCTGGAGAGGACAGAAAAGGCCTGCTTCTATGTCTAGGAAGAGAAAGGTGTTGCCCTCATCAGCTGCTTAGCAGAGATACTCAGAACTCAGTGAGCCCAAAATGCATGGAATTACTGTCCTCAGAAAACTAATTTGGCCATTTCTCATTCCTAGTCACTTTCTCAAACTTTTCTTTAACTCCAAGCTCTGCTTACTGTACAGTTCTTAGGTTCCCAGTACATCTTAGGTCCTAGGAAACAGGATCAGACAATATGTAGAGTGTACCTGACACATTGCCAGTTGGAAACATCACCATCCTGAACACCACAGGCCTTGGAACATAATGGAAATGAAAATTCAGCAGACAAACTGTGAAACAGTTCTGTTATTTTATTGTCTCCCAGTAGGTGTGCTCATCTTCAATTGTGTGAAGGAGAAAGATTTTGAGAACACAACTTGAGTCCCCTCCATATGCAGAAAAAGCTGAAGTTCTTCCTTCTATGTTCCTCTCAACTGCATTGAATCCCAGGTGGCCAAATATCCAGTAGTTCTGGAACCACTTTAAGTACTCATGCAGTGACTCAGTGACTGCTCACAGTGTTTTTCTTTCAGTGGAGATCATCGGAGGACATGAAGCTGTACCTCACTCCCGCCCCTACATGGCCTACCTTAAATTCAAGGAAGCAAAGGAGATATGTAGTGGCTTCCTGATACATGAGAAGTTTGTACTGACAGCTGCTCACTGTTTAGGCAGGTGAGTAATTCCAAATAGGATACAGTCTCAAGGAAATGCCTTTGAGAGACCTTTCCTCACAAGACAATCACTGTGTGTCTGGCAACACAAAAGCAGGAGACTCCATTGCATATGAGAAAGGTCTAGCAATGCCCAAAGGGGAGACAAGAAAGTTGGCACCCAAGGAATTGCTGAACTAAGAAAGATCAGGCCAAGCAAGTCTGATATATTGAGAGCCAAGATCATGCTTTGGCATCACAATGCAAAGTAAATCAATTTTATGTGTTTCATGGAGTTAAATAACCCCTTAGAACTTCTGGTGTCCCAGCTCCAAGATTTAAGTCTGTGTTACTAAAAGCAGAGGGGATAGTCCCTCAGCCAGGTGGCCCTCCTGTCATCTGGAAATTAAATATATGCTGGATGTAGCATGCTCATTACAGATACTGGGATGGGTCCTTTAGCTCTACATTCTTCAACCCACTCTCCTCTCTGTGCAGCACAGTGACCCCACAATATCAACGAACAATCATTGTGCTGGGAGCCCACAACATCAAGAAATGGGAGAAGACACAGCAGGTCATACATGTTGAAAGACACATCCCACATCCTCACTTCAATGATAAAATACACACCAATGACATCATGTTGCTACAAGTAAGGCACACTTTCCTGCTCCTCTTGCTCTCCTCATAGAGGGTTTTCCCTTCGAGTGGGACCCTATGCCTTCCGTCTTTGCCATCATTTCCATTACAATGTCTGGGCCCAGAAGACACAAGCTGATCTGAACTCTTATTTTTTCCCTATCAGCTAGAGGAAAAGGCCACGCTGACAAAGGAAGTGCAGATTCTAGAGCTGCCCATGGAAGAAACCCAGGTGATGCCAGGCACCCAGTGTCAGGTGGCTGGATGGGGACTGATAGCCCGAGATGGAGACTATGCAGACACACTGCAAGAAGTGGAGATGACAGTACAAAAGGATAAGGAGTGCAAAATCCTCTATTCCAATTACAACAGTGCAACTCAGCTGTGTGCTGGGGACCCAAGGATTCAAAAAACCTCACTTCGGGTAAGACTAAGCATCTATCACTCTTGGTTTTTGGAGAAAGGTTGTTTGGGAACTTTGTAGGACCAGGTGGTGAAAACAGCAGGCTTCCTCATATAGTAGACTGTGATAGTTCTCCCTGAAAAGAAAAAAAAATGGGAGCAACCTGAGGGGGGAGGTAACTGAGGCTTCCAGGACTTCACCAAAGGGCTTCTGGTGAACAGTGACTCTCTGGAAGCAGGAGTTGGCAATAACTGCCTGAGCTAACATCTCAGGCCTTAGAAAGAATTCCCTTGTTTTCAGTAATTATAGCCATCTGTAATTATAGATTCTCAGAATCTCCTGACTCTCATAGTCAATGGGCTCACCCTCCCTATTATGATCCTGACCCACATATCTATCTCCATATCCTTAAGCATTGTCTTGAAATCAAAGGTCCCACAGGACTCTTCATGGGTGAATTTCCATGACCTGTGGCAAGGATAATGGCTGACCCAAGTGTAAAATAAAGCAGTAAAAATGTCCACAGTAAGAGCATGTCTGAGCCCCAGGCCTGTACTTCCACCTCCTCTCTCAAGAGTAGACTGCAGGGGAGCAGGGAAGACAGTTAGTAGAATAAGTGCTTGCCTGTCAAGCACAAGGGCCTGAATTTAATCTCTGGTTCTGACAAAAAAGAAAAAAAAAAGAATAGACTGTGAGTAGTACTTCAAGAGGGGTTTCATATACCACTGGGGACAAGTCCAGGAGATGCCCTGCCTCACAGCCTGACTCTGTATTTACAGGGCGACTCTGGAGGTCCCGTCATATGTGATGATGAGGTTCAGGCCATTGTTTCCTATGGAAAAGGTCATGAAATAAATCCACGAATCTTCACCAAACTCTCACCTTATCTAGACTGGATAGCAAAAATCGTGAAACACCACTGACTTCAGGGAAGAAATGAAGCCCTTACCTAAGTAATAACGGTTCCTATACCTGAGCATACAATAGCTCTACAGCAGATGCCAGCAACAAAATAAATGCCTCATCTCTATAAGAAGGCTGTTTTTTTCATTTATTTAATAGCTTTGATTCACAGAGAATCTAAGATATTAGTACAATTCCTGTAACACAATTCTGCTGATTTCTGCTTCCACCATGCCTGCTCCCCTTAATACCTCCAAAATCCAAACTTAAAGCTGTTACTCAGGTCCATCTACCCTGCTTTAGCTTCCCAGCAACCTCCTCTTTTGCAAGAAAAGAAGCTAAGCACCATCAGAAGAAAAGATGCACAGTAGTTAACCTGAGTCTTGGGATGAACATGTCACCTCTTCATGTGTCACATGATAGAGATTAAGTGGGATAATTTCATGGGCACAGTGGATCAGTCAGGCATCATTTAGGTCACTTCTCAGACCCATTGCACTGAATGTGGAAGTCTTTTCCTAAGCAGGAAATTTCTTTTGCACAGGTTTAGGGATAAATGGGCTTTGGAGTATCCTCAGTGACTTCATTCTCACCTGAAATTTGTTTCCTTCCCTTTTCTCCTCTGAGAACAAAACTAACCTAGGAACCTAGGCGTACAGCTACCTGGTTGAAACTCTTTTTTGTGCCCTCACAGTTGTCAAGTCTATCAAATCCTGTTCTCATTAGGTCACAAGCAAGTGATGTTTTTTTGTACCTCAATTCCCCCACCTTGGACAACCAGCACCACATGTGGTTCCATGTAATGCCCTTGGAATTAAAAGCAGGTGGAATCAAAATGCATGACACCACATTTCATCTGTGCAAGGCTCTGTATCGCTGTTTCATCCTTTATTCTCAAGGTCTTTTGATCCCTGAGTCACATGAGCCTTGTTCACCTTATCCTTGGTGATCACTGGTGGCCTCCCAAGTACCTGTGCACACATGAGTTATACCAGTCTATCTTAATAAGGACACCTCTGTAAAGAATGACAGGAAAACATACTCATTTCTTTTTTCTCCATAATTTTATTGAGAAACAAATAGCAATGAAACAGTTTCAAATCAAATTTGTAGGACAGTTTCAATAATTAACACATTGCATACATTCTTCCTAGTGGTTAATTGCTGTACAGGATGCGGACATGATATCCTATTTACAAACACCATTAGAACAAATCCCTCTATTCATTAAGAGAATGTAACTATATATCTATCCTAACCACTTTGAATACACAGATACAAAATGGACATTCATCTGTATCCCCTTTTTCTGTTAAGTTCTATTATTTTGAATCTAGCAGTTAATTGGAAAGATTCTCACTCTGACTAACTATATATATACTGATACCTGTGAACTAAGCAACTGCACTGCAGATGGTAATCTGTAACAGTAGTTTCATGCTTGGAGTGCCTGTCATTCTGGTCTTCTGAATACGGGCTGCTTGTCATGACATGCCAGTTGCTGCTATGCTGTCTCTCGGGTAGATCGTTGTTCAAAAAAGAAGTGGGTGGTGAAGGAAAGCAAGAGACAGGAAAAGGAATATTGTGGGACTGTCCTGCTTCAAGGTTGTATATGGTTAGATTTTTGGACTTATGTGTAAATATAAGAAGTATATAATTATTTATGCCTATTTTTAAAATGTATTCTAATTTTTAAATGCTTTTTATCATATTCTATAGGGACTTAAAGTTCAACATATCAATACTTGATGAAAAATACCTGTTCCATGTTATGTCTAAGATGTTTGATATGCAGACAGATAGTGAGGTTAAGCTTAACAGCCTAAGTTGTATGGTAATAACAATAAGCTTGTCTTCTGGATGGTTAGCAACTTAAGTTTGAGGACTTGTTTCTATCCATCAGCAAACAAATATTCTCACGGTACTTACTAACTGCCTAGTCTTAGAAATCAACAGTAAACACAATAATAAAGTCGAGAGAAAATGGAAATTGGAAAACCTTTCAAATTTGTTCTATCCTCCAGATTGGTCCATAAGGTCTAAATCTATGTTTGAAATCTATGCAAATAAAACATCTTATTGTTCTCCATGCTTTCCAGCTCCATTAATATTGTATTACATGTCACTACAGAAGTGGATGAGATGTAGAAATGAAGTCGTGCTACTGGAAGTCAGACAAACCTTCCTGTTACTCTTGTAATTCTAATGCAGAGTCATGCCTTACAATGGGATCTTGCTTTTTCCCTCCTTGCCATTCTTATGTCCAGGCATAGAGGATATAGCATTTGTACCCTAAGCTCATCTGGACTCTCTTGACTTTTCTGCATCAGCTGTAAAGATAGACTGAGTGAAGTAAAGCTATGCAGCCACTCAGAATGCATAAGGACACAATCCAGGTCAGGTGAGCCCAGGAGTCACATGTTTCATAACCAGCTGGACAAGAATGACCCCATCAGACCCTAGGGTACTGAATTACAGAGGGAGCTTGCAGTGCAAGATGAATTAAATGCACATTCTACATGTATTATCTACTCCAATGTCACTAAATTTGTGTGGAAACCTAAGGAATACAAAGTCAAGTTTCAAAGTGAGGATTTCACTCTCTACAAACACAGAATTCAGGAGAAGAACTTCATGGGGAGAGATAGTGTTTTATACTCTAGACCTAAGTCCAGGGCTTGTAAGCTGGGGTTCTCAAGCCATATCACTGTACTCAATGCCCTGGGTGGATAGGTGTGGAACTCTGGAAAATGTTGAGTTACTGAGTTTGGTGTTATCACAGGACAAAATCTAAGGCCTACATGGAAAGGTTAAGGTAAGTTAAAACTGTTAATTAAAATTTGAGTCATGCTAGAGCCCCTGGTCACAGAAGGCAGTCAGTCCTGCCCTGTCCTGATCCCTGCTCACAGTCCCTGATAGAGGTTGCCCAGTCTAGTGTTCCCAGGATACCAGCAGGAGGAGGCTGAATGAGATTTTCCTTCCCCATCTGTAGGGAAACTCTGGATGTCCCCTCATGTATGACAAACTGATCCAAGGCATTTTCTCCTATGGAAGAAATAATTTTAAAAATGTACAACAGTCTTTAAAAAGGTCTCCTACCTTCCGCCTTAGATAAGGAGTACCATGGGGTACTTGCAACAGTAGGCATAAAACTGGCCTCATCTATGGCTCACTTGCATTTTGGAACAAAAGGAAATGTCTTTTGAGCATGGCCCATTGGGATTGCATTGTGATACTAAATGTTCTCAAGAGTGAATATGGCGCAAGTCACACTTACTCACGGAACCCCACTGAGAATGAAGCTACACTGCTTTCTATTCTAGTTGTGTCTTCCTGTTTTATCCCTTAACATATTCTTCCCTATTCTATTTGATGCAAGCAATCAAAGTTGATATCTCAAGCACAATTTATTTTAATGCTCACTTCTCTCGTGTGGACTTACTACCTTGTATTGGAGTGTCTGCATCATTAGGAGCTGTCCTCATACACATGATCCAATGTGCTCTCTGTTAAATGCTTCAAATATGAAATATCTGAGCCATAGAAATTGCTTACCATCTCTAAGCCAACATCCTTCATCAGGACCCAAATAATTTGGCAAAGAAGGGAAGAGTGGTAAAGGGATAACTGCATGGACCCAGGAGGCCAGAGCTTTAAGTGTCATAGTTACTGGGCCTCTCTCCAGTGGGGAAAGATTTTACTGATTCAGTGCTATCTGCTGCTTAGGAGGTTCAGGTGGCCCTCAGGCTCCCAGGTTCCATTTGCTTCTCTGTCTTGGGGTAGCATTAATCTCAGTCCAACTTTTCCATTGCTGCCTGGCCTATCCAAACCAGGAAATGTCTCCACCACCCTGCACCTAGAAACAAAACTCTTTCCCTTCCAGTTCCTGGGGTTTTAAACCCCTTCTCCTCTCCAAACACTGTTCCCCACTCTGTGCATTCACCTCTATCACTTGTTCCACCCAGACTTGCAACTCTCTTCCATTCTGCTTGGGCAGGGCTTGCTGAGTCCTGTTCCAGCCCAGCAACCTCCTGTGGGGAGGGCTCAGCATCATCTCCTGTGGAGTCAATCTACTGCCTCACTCTTTCAGCCTGGCATGGCCCTGGACTCCACACTCCCCTTGCTTGCAGATGGAGGTGACAGCAACTCCCAGTCCAGATAGCCCACCAACAGCCTTTGATTTATTTCCTTGTAAGAGACACATAATAGGCTCTGGTATCACATTTGGATAACTCACAAGAATGACAAGTTTCCTCTGAATATCTCTAGTTTCTCTCATTCTGTAAGGCAGATCGTATTAACACAGAGTTTTATATTTGGAATCAGCTAGAATTCTTATAAAAATCAAGATCTTTATATTCTGTCTTGGTTGTACATCACAGTGTCATGTGTTTGATATATTTAGCTGTTGTTGAAAGCCATGTGATACTGCAAAGAACATGCCAGTTCTCATGTCCTATGTTAGCCCAATTGGGTTAAGCTTGGGCTTAACTCTATGTTAGCCCAAGCCTGGGTCCAGAAGTGTTGACTGGACCATTGAGGTAATATACACCCAAGAGTAGATGAGACCAGAGGGAAAAGCTCAGGGCAATGAGGAATTCCCCTTCATTAGAAGATAAATATGTCTAACCTTTATGGACACTGTTCAAAAGAGTGGTAATAAAAGTGAAAAGAAAGTTTTGAGAGACTGTTTTCTTTTATAAAAAGCAATTTTTATCTTCAACCTAAGGGACTGGCTGCTTTGAACTGAAAAGTTTGGAAACAAGCTACAAAAAGGCTATGCCCAAGCTCATCAACAAGGGGAAACTATCCAATTAAGTATATTGGCCCTATATAATCTGATATCCTTTGCTTGGTAGCCTGTGAAACCTAATTCTGAGGTATCACAACCACAGCATAGAGCAATCAGTTCGTACTCTTAATTATTAAGAGGATCAACTGATATCATTTTAAGTATTTTTCTACCCACAGACACAGGAACAAGAACATAAAAGGAAATGCAAGTGAAAAAAGAGAAAAA